TAAGTTATTTTAATAATAATAATAACTTCCAAAAAATTAAATTAAAATTATAATTTGCATAAACAATTTAAAAATTATGTAATGTTTTAATAATACTAATTCCAGAAAATTAAATTAACATAAACAATAAAAAAATAAATTAAAACAATGTAAGATAAAATGCACTAATTAAAGTAACATAAAATTAATAATTATAAAAGAAATAGAGTATACAAATGATAAACTAAAATAAATAATAAATAAAAAATTGAAAATAAATTATTTATCAAATAATCTCTTATAATTGAAACAAATTATAATTTTTTAGTAAATAATTCTAATGTAAATAAATAATATTAATTTCTAAATTTTATTTATTAAAAATATAATTTTAATATAAAATAATTCTGAAATAAATACATTAAATATTATTATAATATAATTATAATTTTTTATATTTATTTGTAATTTTATTTTAATACATTTATTTTATTTATCCGTAAGTTATTTTAATTATTTTTTTATCTTGTACATTTAATTTTATTTATCCGTGAAATAAATATATTTATATAAATGAAATAAATATTTTAAAAAAAATAAGGTATAATAGGCCTATTTACTATAAATTAAATATAACTAATACTAATAATAATAACTTCCAAAAAATTAAATTAAAATTATAATTTTTTTATATTTATTTATCATATTATTTTAATTATATTCTGTTTTGTTTTGATAATAACGTTATTTTAAATTCATTTAATTTTATATAATTTTAATAAATTAATATAATTTACATTATCTTCTAAATTTAATTTCATTTATCCATATTTAATTTCATTTATCCACATGTGATTTGATATATTAAATAAATATATATTTATATAAATGAATTAAAATAAATAATTATATACTGAAATTGAATTAAAAAATAAATAAAATTAAAATAGACTAATTAAAGAAACATAAAAATAATAATTATAAAAGAAATAAAGTATAAAAATTATCAGTAAAATAAATAATAAATAAAATAACCTATAAAAAAATAATTTTAATACAAAATAATTCTAAAATAAATACATTAAATATTATAATAATATAATTATATTTATTTTATCATTTTATTTTAATAATTTTCTGTTTGTTTGATAATAACATTACTTTAATTATTGTTTTCGTTTAGTTTATATATTTTAATTTATTATAAGTTTATATTTTAATGATTTAAATTAATATAATTTACATTATCTTCTAAATTTAATTTCATTTATCCATGTGTAATGTGATATATATTAAACTTTTAATTATTAATATAATAAGTTAATTTAGTAATAATAATTTCCAAAAAATTAAATTAAAATTATAATTTTTTTATAATTATTTATCGTTTTATTTTAATTATATTCTGTTTTTTTTATAATAACGTTATTTTAAATTCATTTAATTTTATATAATTTTAATAAA